TTGGGATGTTGGACACACCAGGCACACAGACATGCCTTGGAATCATCTCACCTTGTTGCACTGTTCTGAGTTCCTTGAGCTAACCTTTCCTCCTTCTCTCCTCTATTTTTTTGTGACCAAAATAGGTTGTTGAAAAGCCTCCTTCTCCGCTTGGTGGTCCAAGGTCTTTGCAATCCAGCAGCTCAGAGTCAGGGAGCACCAGTGAGTCTGAGAGCTCCTCAGACTCTGAGACCAGTGACTCTGAGAGCTCCTCATCCCCGGAGACAAGTGACTCAGAGAGCTCCTCGGGCTCAGAGACCCACCACACTGGGGGTGTCAAAAGGCCTGGCAAGCCCCTGTTGGACAACGGGGCCAAGAGATGCCGGAAGGAGGACAGCAACCCTGATCCATTGGAGATCAGAGCCCAGTCTTCCAGGGACAAACAGAGGGTCAAAAAAAGAGCAAAATCTACTTACAGAAAAGACCTGAAGCCGGCCCTCCAAGAGCCCCTTGAGAACAGAAAGGGCTCCCAGCAGGCCAAAGTGAAACAGCCCTTTGCCCTCGGGGTGAAGAAGTTGCTCTCGCCAGTGAGAGACCCCGCAGCTCCTGAGCCTGTCCGGGTGAAAGAGGAGCACCAGAGAAGAGCAGAGACCAAGGACCTCCCTGGTGCAAGGAAGCAGGACTTGAAGAGGAGAGCCATGGACAGTCCTGATGAGCCCAGTGGGAAGAAAAAGGTGAGAGGTGGGAGGGGAGGTGGGTTTGTACAAGGACCAAGGTGGTGTTTGAAAAACTCCTGCGAAGTTTCCACTTCACAGGTTGGGAGTGGAGCCATTATGCTTCTCCCATAAAGGTGTTCTCGAATGTCTAAAACGACCGTGAATCAAAACTTTCCACAGCTGTTTCTCAATGGTCACAAATCCCCTCCTGAGCAAATGAAAAGCCCACCTAGAAGAGATGAAATGTTTATTTTCAGCAATGGAAATAAGAGGTTTAGCAGTTTCATCCCTGCCACTACAAAACAATTAATCAATCCAAGCAAATTAGATAAAAAGTCCTTTTTGGTTACTTGTCAGTGAGCCTGAAATCTATATCTGCTGTGCTGTGGGTTTACATTTGGTGAATTCCAGTATCTTAGTTTTCCTGTTCTCAGTCAGAATCAGAATCACTCAAGCTTAAGCGTATTAGTCTGTACTTGGTGTGAACTTTCAAAACCTGAGTGATTTTTTTTTCCTTTTTTTCTTTCTTCCTGTTAGAGGGGAGAGATATGAAGATTAAAGCTAGTCTTCAGTAAGCAAAGACTGCAATAAAGTGAAGTGAGTATACAGTGGTGGGATGTCAGAAAGATGCCTAAATCTAAGTCTCTCTTAAAAAGGGGGAGCTGAAGAACTGTATCTCCTGTCCTAACACTCCTGAGTTTGCTTCTAACATAGGATGCCTTCTGAAACTTAATCTGCTGGAGATTTGCCTTTCCATCCTGGAAGTAACCGCTCCAGAAAACAGCTTTGTAGCTGTATATGGGTAAGGGTAGAGCATTTTCCTTCTCCACTAAAATCATCTTGTTGCCTTTGTCTTTCTCCTATGTGACCCACAGAAACATAACCAGTGTGTGCCTTTTGAGTCCTGACTGTCTGGCATTTCAGGCATCCTCGGTGGCCAGGAATTTCTGGTTTATCCCAGTGTAGCATTTGCAGTGTTTCTGGTAGATGTGCTGAAGCTTCCCTGCCAGTTTGCACACCAGGGCACTGCCAGTATTTTGACCAGGTCTTTGCTAGAGTCAGTGCTTCCAAGAGCGTGTCTCCAAGTCGTCAGTGTTCCCAACAGGGCAGGCTCGTGCATCAGTCATGGGCTACTGCATTGTATTCCTGCTTGCCTGTGGCTGGAGTTTGAGCTGTTGGCTTGGACTGGTGCTGAGGTTTGTGTCCTGACAACAGGAGGAAACTGCTGTTCTGCAGACAAAATGCTGAGGTGCTCTGAAAGCATGGAGACTTTGGGGCCAGCGTTTAGTTGGGGAAAGGATATTCCAACTGCAGTAGTGATGGAAGATCTTTAGTTCTGGAGTTCACTCTTCCCTGTCTCTCAGTGAAAATGAGCAGCTGCTTTAGTCACGTTGTGGCTTTTGGAGTGGGAAGGATAGGAAGCGTTTTTGGGCTGGATCAGGTCAGGGATGGTGCTGTGCTCTGTGTAAAATAGTCCTCAGCTGTGCCAAGGTAGAGAAGCTGGGAGCATGTGTGCAGTGAATAGGGACCATTCCCACTGGGAAAAGTGGGTAGTGAAAGAGGAGAGAGGACTGTCCCATGTACAGCAGAATCAGGCAAGATGTGCAGCATCAACCTGCCGTGTTGGAGCAGCACTTGCTAAAGGAACTTGGCTCCTGAGCAGCACTTGAATTTTGGAGTCCTTGCTGGGCACGTGACCAGTATTTGCCAGTAGCAACTCCTAGAATTGCTGCTCCTCTTGTTATTGTGCAGTTTTGTCATTAAAACTGTTGTGTTCTCCTATGGTGCAAGCAGTGGTGCATCTGTAAAAGCTGTAGGGGCGGTGCAGTTCAGTCTGTAACCTGCCATCCCACGTGGCCTTTGCAGTGCCATTTTCCATAAAACACAAGGCTTTGTGAGCTACTGAGGATGAAGGGATGCAGTGCCATGATCTGTTGGCAGAGTGGCAAAAGAAAATAAGCACGATGTGCGGTAGGAAGGCTGTCAAAAGGCTCACACTGATGAGGCAGTTGCTGAAATTCTACAGGCTTTGCAAGTGCCCTTTGAATCAAATAACAGTATTTGCTGAGTGTCCTCTGTCAGATGTGCCTGTTGTATGAAAGCAACCAAAGGTTTTCTCTCTCCCTCTCTTTTTCCAGAGATCTTTGCCAAAGTCATCAGAGAGACCCGTGCTCTGGTATTGACCAGGAGCCTGACAGACCTGTCACACTCCACCAGGCAGGCAGTACAGTGACTGAGACTGGAAGAAAACATGCCGGAATTGTTTCTCCAGGATGTCAAATACCTTCCAGTTTTCTGTCATTTTGAAGCCTTAGGAACATAGGAACTTAGTTATTTTTTTGAATTGTTCAATAAAACACCTGCAAGGAAAAATAGAAAGAGCTTAGTTATTTTTTTTTGAATTTTTGAAAAAAGCACCTGCAAACAAAAATGTTTCAAATAAAGCTGAAGTTTTCTGGTTCCCTTAGGAAATATTTGCACTGTGTTTGTTTGGGTAGTGGTTTCCTGCCTTGAAAATAAAGAGATGGAGAATGGCCCCTGCCTTTAAAATGACAAAGTGCAATGAATTGTCTGCACGGGCCAATGTATTGATGATCTATAAACATTTCTATTATGAGTAACCAACAGGACAATCATCACAAATATTGTTGACAAGGAGATCTGCCTCCAGAGGTTATTAGGTGACATCCCACAGTCTGCAGTAGTTGTGTGCCCAGAAAACACCAGAGGAGTGTTACTGAGGGTCTTGCTCAGTTTCAGCCTTGGAAGCCTCAAGCTGGGGTGGCAAATGCCAAGGGGTGTTTGGCAACAGCTCTGTCTGTCTCCTGTGGTGGAGGGATGTCACTCATGGGCTCCTGCTCGGCCACACATCAGGATGGGCCCAGATACTTAGAAACCTGTCAAGGGAACACAGAAGGCAAAAATTAGCTGTTTGCAAGCATTTTTCCCTTGTCACTGTAACTGTGAAGGCAGCATCCCCAGCATTTATGTGTTCAGTAAGATGACACCCGTGTCTACCCAAGGATTTCCAGTGGTGTGACAGCCGCATCTGCTGTCCTCATATGGAAAAGTGTGCCTTAGTCCTCTGGTCCTCTCACATCCCTTGCCCTATCTCCGACGGACCTGTGGGAGTGGTGAAGAGAAGGATGGTATCCCAAAACAAGTGTGTTTACAAGAAAGAATTCTCTCCTGTTTCCACATAATTTCATGATGTAGGAACAGGACTGCACATGTGCAGCAGTCTCCCCTTTGCAAACTACCTGTTCATGGGTTTGAGGCTCTTGAAAATGGACAGTAAATAAACACCAGCAAAATGTCTGCATTTGCAAAAGTAGTTTCTGTAGAAGTGGCCCCTGCCAGGTGGAAGGCTGGATCCAAGTTCATGAAGGCAAACCATTGATCTGGCTGGAAAGAACAGGGTATTTTTCCATGAAAGGCTTTCAGGTTTCATCTCTCCCCATCCCTGCCCCTTACTGCACTGTGCCATAGGGGACATCACAAGGACGCACAGAAATGCCCTGGATTTATGAAAACCACAGAAAACTGGCATGTTCTGTATGCTCCTACCACCCATCAGCTGTACCATCCCATACGCTTCCCGATCCCGAGGCCGCAGCACAGCCGGTGTGCCAGGCGGGATTTGGTTTCCCACAGGTGCCCTCAGCCCCAGGGCCGCCGCGGTGCCAGTCCCGTGGCTGTGGCCCCATCCCCTTTCCCGGCAACCCTCCCTGAAATTTCAGAACTGAGACCCTCCATTGTTTAGAAAAGTGCTACAGAAGTGCTCATGTCCCTTGGTTTCTAACAGTTCCTGCAGGAAAACATTCTCGATGCAGTGGGAAGCACATGGTTATATCTGCAGAGCGCAACTGATGTAAACCAATCTACTGACAATTCTGAAGTTCTCGTAGAAACCTGAGAAATCTTGTCATTTATTTCTCCTCCCCTGACCCAGCTGTATCTTTCCTTCCTTTTGCCTCAGAAGCACATGAACAGGGAGCCCCCCTAGTGGGGTTCCACAGGGCTCCATCTTGGGCCCAGTGCTCTTCCACACCTTCATAAATGACTTGGACGCAGGGCTGGAAGGGATACTAAGCAAGTGTGCAGACGACACAAACTGGGAGGAGCTGTCGACTCCCTGGAGGGCAGGGAGGTCCTGCAGAGAGACCTGGGCAAATGAGAGGGCTGGGCAATCACCAACCCCATACTGAGCAAGTTCGCAGTCGACACAAAAATGGGAGGAGCTGTCGACTCCCGGGAGGCAAACCATGGTGTTACTGTTGTGGGTGAAAGCTGTCCTAAAGAGGAATTTGATAGAGGGTTCCCTCTTTTCTCAGAAGCTGTTGTGCAATCAAGTGTACAAGAAGATGGTGCAGCTGACAGGTAGAGCAAGTGAGCTGCAGGAATCAGACCTCATGAAAAAATCATCTGGTAATTGTTTTTCACCAGAGAGGTGAGCAAATCATCTCCTTGATTTGTGCAGCAAATTAGGAATTCTTGGAATTGATGATTTGTACTTTGATCAGTGATGTGCTGATTTTGATTCTTTTTAGATTAGTTGTGTTTATTTGACTGAGATGATTTAATGCTTCAGTCACCATCTGATGGCATTACTTGGTGTACAGAAACCTTTTTTCACATTAAGTCTCTGAAGAATTATCTATATTTGAAGGAATTGTAAAGATCTTGTGAGTCATATCTATGAATTGGATTGCTGTGATGTTTGGTTTCATTACCCCATTAACAAATAATTTACATGTAAAATCCAGACTCTTACTACTGCCTCTGCAAGCTGAGAACAATTGTCACTGAAAGAAATCATCTCTCCAGGGAAATTAATTATTAATATTAATGTTATCCAGCCTGCAGTGGAACAAATTAATTTCAAGTGGAGGGGAAGGTTCCGGGAGGGCTTGCTGCTGCTTCAGCTTTAAACGTAAGTGTCTCTGAGGAGTAGGATAGCCATGGAATCCCTCATAAAGGAGGATGATTTTGGCAGTGCAAAGCCCCTTTTGTTCTGGCCTGGGTGCTGCCAAAAGGTCCCGGTGCTGAGAAAGAGATGACTGATGGGAGACCCATCAGATCTGTGGCAAAAGCAACTCTGGGCATGGGGATTAGTTAGAATTCCAACTGAGCTGTCTCAGACAGTAACTGCAGAGGAAGATGGTAAAGCCTGTGTGGAAAATCTCCAATTGCAGATGTGAATCCAAAGCTCTTGATTTATTATTTTTCAGTGTTCATAACCAAGGCCATTATAATGATAAATGTTTGCATGATATGTATTTAATGACACTGACTATTATAATTTTTTAATATTTCAAGGCCAGGCTGGATGGGGATTTGAGCAACCTGATCTAGGAAAAGGTGTCCCTGCCCATGGCAAGGGGGTTGGAACTTTAAGGTCCCTTCCAACCGAAAACATTCTATGGTTTTAAGGTTCCATGAATCCATTGTCTTCTGCAAGTGTCCATCAAACTGTCCCTTCAAAGAACTGAATGCCTGCAAAGACATCAAGTTTTCCCACACTGTTAATGTTCGTGATGGCAGCGTTGAAGGGATGGGAAGCTCTTGACTGGGTTCATAAGGTTCAAGTTTCCAAGCAGCTTCCATGTTCAATTAAAGCACTTATGTGCCTGTGGCTTGATGGAGAAAGGCAGAAAAGAGAGTACTCCACTACGTCCAGCTAAGGGATACAGCAATTGGTCTGGTTAAATACAGCATTGTATTTTACACTTGTAAAAATTCCAATCGGGGCCGCTTGAGTGCCTGCTTTCTTCTCCACTGTATGTTGTAGCTGTACAGTTACATCAGACAGTGGCTTTTAAAAACTGAGAAACAGTGATTTTGAAGTGTTCCTCTTCATTACCAACAACTAGCCTTGCACTTCCTTTTGGGAGAAGTGTGAAGGAGAAATGAATGACTGGCAGCAATAGAAAACTGACAGCTGCTAATAGTCTCTCCATAGGGAAAACCAGTGAACCAAATTACTCCTCCTGCCCATCATGACAATAGTTTTTGCAGTTCCTGGGATGCAGAGTGCACTCAGCTCTGTTTTTAATGTTTATAAATGTTACTTACAGTATTGATTTCGAATGATGAGTTAGGTACATGTGCATCTCCCCTGGCTTTTCATTATTAACACATTTTAAGGTAGGGTCCAAAACTGTATGTGCTCGTTTTTCAAGACAGTGTGATGAGAAATAGGATATAACAGTAAATTTGGATCTATTTTCTGGTAGATTGGTAGAAAATGGCTTAATGCTGTCAAACCTCACCCAATATTCAGCTAGGAAGTCCACCTGCATTCATGAGCTTTGCAGGGCAGTTGTAAATCTTGCAGTGTGGACAACCACATTGCCTTCCTTTCCCAGAAGTGTGAGCTCCTGCAGAGCCAGCTCATGAGCATTTCTGTCACCTCTCAGTACATCAAACTCCCTTTTCCAGTCGTAAATAATTGAATATTGAAAAAGATAAAAACCAGGCTAAATAACAAACTTTCCAAAAATGTTTATTAGGATTTTTCATATCTAGAAAGTGATTACCATCACTCTTTTTAGCAAAAGCATTTCCTGACTGACTCGGAAGGAAAACCTTGGCATCCTAGAGTCCCCTGAAAGATCAGCTTGTGTGGAGCTCCAGGGAAAGATGCAACACACATCACTTAAAATGAGCAGTATGGTCATGTGCAGTCATGGGTGATTGCACTCCCAGAGAAGCATGAATTTTACTTTGTTGTGTTCAGAAGTGAAAGCCTTGGATGCAAAGATATGCCTCTTCTATAAAAAAGATATCTTTTGAATTCAGGGGGGACATCCAGGACTAGGACACTTCCTGAATTTAAGTTACCAGTTCTACAAAATTTAGAACAGCAGCAGTTACAAGAGCAGTGTTGGCAGAGAAAGACCCTTCACCTCAAGAAAGTTAGGACCTTGTTCAACACAAAATCCATTTTCCCTCCACTGAGCTGGATCCAGGATAGCAGCAAATTACTCCTGAGAGGGACAACAAGCCCCAGACACTAAAGCTTCTGGTGGGAGGACCATCCAGGCAACTTGGAGGCAGCCCAGTGACCTAGTCCTGCAGAGAGCAAACCAGTGAAATGAAAAATATGCTTGCAAGTGCAGCAAAGCCGGGGTGGTTGATCATTAGTGACCCCAGTGAGGCTTTAATGTGTGTCCTGGAGGGGAAAGGCTGTTTGGCCACATGTGTCCTAACTGAGAGTCCCTCCTGGGTGCCATCCAAGATCCAGTCTAGCGAAGTAAAGGTCTGATTTTTTGCTCCAACTCAGGGTGTTTTGTGGCACTGTCTAAGGGCAACATCCTGGTCTGGTGTCAGGATTTAGCAATCCTGGCAGCCCTTATTCTTAGCACAGTGCAGACATGTGCAAGAAGGAAAACTCACTCACCATAACAGACTGAAAGCCTGTCTGGCTGCTGGTGGTAGCCAAGTTCACGTTGTTCCCAAACTTTCTGCAATTGCTATATTGACTTTTCTTGTAAAAGTAGGAAATTACCATTTGACTGTGCTCATGGAACAGCATAGTACCACTCTCAGTTGTGATGGACTGTCTCCTCTTGAAGTAAACCTTACAACCTGTGCTGCCATTTAAATGGCTGAGAGTCAGTATGAAGATCAACTCCATTTCTAGGTTCTGAGATGTTGTGGTTTAGGAATGGTATTCCCCAATTCAGTGTTCCCACTGAAACAGCCCAGACCACACACTACTCGCTCACCTTCCCCCCGCTCCCTCTGTGGTGGGATGGAGAGGAGAATTGGAGGCACAAAAAGGTAAAGATCACGGGTTGAGATAATAACAGTTTACTAGAAACAGCAATGAAATAAGAAAATGATCAGTAGCAACAACAATAATAAAGCCAGGGTGTACAAGATGGGCAAATGATTTACACACAGTTGCTCACCACCAGAATGCAGTGCCACCTGACCGTGTACTCCACACACCACAGAAAAATCTCCACCCTCCTTCATACCCCGTTCACATGGCATGAGGTGGTACAGAATAACCCGGGCAGTGATGCCTCGCCACAATTCAGCAGCCCAGACGGGTTTTCCTCTGCGCTGCCAGTCAGGCTTTTTCCATCAGTCCAGCCTCGCCCACAGAGCATTTGCTACCATCCACAAGTCAGTGTAGAAGTAGAGTGCTGGTCGTTTCTCTCTTTCAGCGATATCCAAAGCCATCTGTATGGCTTTCAGCTCTGCAGCCTGACTGACTTGATCCACTTTGTCCCTCATGCCCCTCGGTGGCTTCTGCGACTCACCACATAGGACTCCGTAGAGCTACTTTCCCTTTCAATGTATCCCTAAAATACAGCAGGAACCGTGAGTGAAGAGACCATGTCACCTTTCATTTTCAGGTAGTTGATTTTATGGTGAGACCTCCTCAGCACATGTCACCTTCTCCTTCTCTGATGATGATAGCCTGAAATTTTTGCCCTCCCGCCAGTTCATGATGACTTTCAAGATCTCTGGGCAGTTGAGGTTTCCTATTTGAGCACAACCCACTTACTCCATGTAGCATCAGTGGCATGATGTGTGGAAGGGAGTTTCCGTCTGATCATCCAGCCCAGCATTGGAAGTCGGGGTGCCAGGAGGAGCTCTGCTTTGGTGCCAATCACTTCTGAAGCGTCTTTGAACCCATTCCTAAACTGCCAGGATCTCCTTTTCAGTTGGGGTGTAGGAAACCTCAGATCCTTTGTATTCCTGACTCCAGAACCCCAGGGATTGTCCTTGAGTCTCTCCTGGTGCTTTTTGCTGGAGACTCCAGGGGGGACCATTCTCTCAGGCTGCAGTGTAGAGCATTTTTTACATCTTGTCCTGTCCTAACTGGCCCAAGGGCTACTGCATGAACAATCTCTTGTTTAATTTGTTCAAAAGCTTGTTGTTGTTCAGGACCCCACTTAAAATCGTTCTTGTTCTGGATCACATGACACAGAGGGCTTACAATCTGACTGTAATTTAGAATATCCTCCTCCAAAACCCCACAGCACCTAGGAAAGCCTGTATTTCCTTTTTGCTGGTTGGTGGGGACATAGCTGCTCCTTTGCTGACCACATCCATTGGAATCTGTTGATGTCTATCTTGCCATTTTATTCCTAAAAACTGAATTTCCTGTCAGGTCCCTTGACCTTACTTTGCTTTATGACAAAAGTAGCCTTCAGAAGGATGTGGATTATTTTCTCCCCTTTCTCAATAACTTCCTCTGCCATGTTCTCCCATATGATGATGTCATCAAGGTACTGCAAGTGTCCTGGAGTTTCACCCTTTTCCAGAGCAGCCTGGATCAGTCCATGGCAAATGATGGGGCTGTGTTTCCACCTGTGGGACAGTCGGTTCCAGATGTACTGCACACCTGGAACCAGGTGAAAGCAAACTGTGGCCTGCAACCTGCTGCTAAAGGAATGGAGAAGAACACATTGGCAATGTCAGTGGTGACTG